TGCGGTATAGTCCTATGTTAGGTAAGGAACTCTCCCCGGTCAACATAATTTCATGCTCTACACCTCGACGTGGTGGTAGTCCCGTGATCTCCGAAAACAAGTCCGCATACTTGGCCTTTAACCTCTCAATATGTCCCTCCTGAAGCTTGCTCAAGGTGGACAAGCACATCCTACTCAGCTGCTCTTCATACGGCCGAATGAACAATAAAACGAACTTCCTGCCCGCATTCACCAACCTCTTAGCCTGAGTCACCGTCACCAAGCTCGTCTCCTGTGGAAGAGATGCCGAACGAAAAATGAATTGCTCGCCATCCTTGTTGAACGTGTATTTTTGGGCTCGCCGATCATATACTGCGTATCTATCCCACAAATAAGGATTGCCCAAAATAACTTGGCAAACATCCAACAGAACCACGTCGCATGTGACCTCGTCAATATACGACTCATGGAGTGCAAATCTGAATGAACACTGGTTCACCACACTCAATCCCGTCTCCTTCCGAATCCACCCTAATGGATAGGGCTTCAGATGCTTCACCGTCTTCAATCCCAGCTTATGTACTAATGCCTCAGATATCAGATTTTTCTGGCTTCCTGTATCTACAATAGTATCCACTAAACTGGTATTGACCTGCAACTTCAGAACAAAGAGCTGCTCCCTCGGGTCGTCATCTTCTTTAGTGGCCTGCTTCCCCGCCATAAGGTTGAGACTGCTATTGAGTTCAGTCATCCCGGGGACCTCCTTCGGACCCTGTGCTATCACGTACGTCTTCTTCTCCTCCTTCTTCTTCAACCCTTTTGGCTTCAGATGAGGATACTTATCCCAGCAACGATCAGCCACGTGCCCTGTCTGTTTGCAGTGATTGCATGTCAATCCTGCTTTCCCCGAGTCAGATGAGGATACTTATCCCAGCAACGATCAGCCACGTGCCCTGTCTGTTTGCAGTGATTGCATGTCAATCCTGCTTTCCCCGAGTCACCCTTCTTCTTCTTATCCTTAGACTGAGAGCCTCCCGTCTTGCTCCCCGATGGTTTGGAATCCCCCTTTGTCTCGTTGCCCTTCTTCTGCCGGCCCTCAATGGCAATGGCCTTCATGTACTTCATGAAGATGGAGTACTCGTCCGTTGCGATGTTTAGAACCATCGCCTGCTGCTGGAACTTCATCGTGCACTCTTGAACGGTCTGATTAAACTTTTGGCGCAAGCCATACCACTTGTACCAACGCTCCTCAAGGAACCCCACTGGATAGAACTGTTTCCGAAGTAGCTCCTTGAACTTGTTCCATGACGCCGCTTTCTTCTCCTGTTTGTAATAGGATTTCCACCACGTCAACGCGTGCCCTGAAAGTTTCAATGTCGTGAACACTATCTTCTCCTTGGACGAATATCCGTAGAGAGTGAAGTACATCTCCATACGTTCGATCCAATCATCAAGCTTCTCCACATTGATACTCCCATCATAAACAAGAATCTCAACCTTGAAGTCAATCTTCAGATTCTGGTAATGATTCTTACCCCCTTGATGTCCAGCAGTCTTGACAATCTCAGTCTCCCCCTCTGAATCAGATTCCTCATGCTCTTCCTCGGATTCGACGAGTTTCTTCTTACCCTTCGAAGAAGATTCCTCCTTTTTGTCACCTCCGTTGATTAGACCCACGAGTTGAGTAAGAGTCGTCTCGATCGTCTCAATCTGCTTCTCCATGGCATCAAGTCTTGTTGAATTATCTGCTTCAGACATCTTCTCCTTCCTTAATTTCTGGACCCCCTCCGAGGAATTAAGGATCTCGCCAAGCTTCTTGTACTGTGAGCGAGTAAGGACCATACACAGTTCCCCCCTTCACAGGATCTAGTGCTCTGATACCAACTTGATACGAGGCGCCGTGCGAGCACTCTTGATCGCGGAATTATCAAGAGTGGGTAAAGAAGAAAACGACAGAAGAACACAAGAGTTATAATTAGGGCGAAGGAAAATACCTTTTCTAGATTATGAGAATCAATTGGATTTACAAAATCTCTCTCACAATCTCTCTAGATCAAAGAACAACCTCCCTGATATCTTTTCTGATTACAATCTGAGTGCTAAACCCTAGAAAAGTCGTGTTTCTATTTATACTAAACAGAAATCCTAAACGGTGCAGGAAACAGACCCAGGCCCATAACCGCTACGCGGTCAACCGCTGTGACCAAGTCGGTCGACCGGCCAGAACATCGATTTCTGGAAAAATCGATTACAGGGTTTCCGGTCGACCGCAGCGCCTACATCGGTCGACCGTTCTCAGTCCAGAGACACAGTCTGGGTCTGTGCACTACGCGGTCGACCGCTGTGACCAAGTCGGTCGATCGGCCAGAGCCCAGCTGTAATTCCTGCAGTTTGACGAATCCGTCGACTTCGCCGCCTCCAATGACCTCGTCCACGACTCCTCTACTCTATTCTCAAGATACCATGAGAATCATCTATCCTCAAGCTCCCATGAGGATTGCTAAGCTCCCGAAGAGAAGATACACCCGTATCACTTTGGGAAAGGATGTTAAGGTGATTTATTAAGTATTTCATGTTACATAGACATACTAAAGACTCTGTTTGGTTCCGGTTTTTGGAAGGGGAAAGGAGGTGGAAAACGGCCAAAAAGCTGACATTTTTGGCAGCTTTCCTCCCTTTTACCGATCCAAAAAACTGATCCAAACAGCCTCTAAGTTTTGCTAGCTAGTAGTTTCCGCATCTCATATGATCTCTCTTGTATTCAAACTGAAGTTACAGCATTGATGATGTGTAGGATTGGTTCTTCTCAAGTAGTTTATTTCCCTTCTTATTAGATATTTCTTTTCCTACCATTGAAATTTTGCATAAGTGCGTCTCTCAGTGAACCAATGTTTTTTTAAATGCCTTTTTCATTGTGTGTAATCTTTGAAATATCATACTCCCTTTAAAAGTTATGTGTTAACTTTGGTAACCCACTCAGTTGGAAAATACCATTTAATAAGGTTATACTTTGTCATCCGAAGAAATTACAAATCTACACAGCTCCAAGGCAACAAGAGGAAGATCATATTATCTCGAAATTCATGGAGAATATCTTCTTATTAGGATTTGTCGAGAGTATCTTTTTATTAGGACTTGTCGACTAATAGATCATATTATCTCAAAATTCATGGAGAATATCTTTTTATCGGTATCTATCGAGAATTTCTTTTTATTAGGACGTGTCGGTAAATTCACCGGTATTCTCGTAAGTTTAGGATACAAAGCGGATTATAAATCGAGAGAAGTATCAGTGATGTTATGACTTCACAGAAAAGTTTTAAAGGTTTACATAAAATCATTGCAAGGCGTAAGGAGACATTTTTAACTTTTCATTTCATGAACATTGGAGATACTTATTTGGAGGAAGATAAAAAAATAGATGCGCATCCAGGGAATCGAACCCTGGTCAGTACCGTGGGAGGGTACTATGATACCACTACACCAGATGCGCTTGTTGAGGTGTGTTAATCTTAATCTTTATACATGCGATTCTTTAAGCATGATACGGCTTAGTTGTGAAGCAACGGCCCGCTTTATCTTGTCTTGCGTATTATATTCCTACCTATTTGCTTGATTTGAGGTACCCTTTTTAGCGTTCTTTTATCAAGCCGAATTCACCAAAAAGTAAATAATAATAAAACCATTTAAAGATCTTAAAATATGGTTTATATAGCTTCCCAACGTAAAAACAGAGCACCATAAAATCTTATGTAGCTTTGTGTCTTCAGGCGTAATTGGTCAATTTACTTTGACATTAGTAAATTAGTAATTGTTTGGTTGGTGGTTTGTGGGGGTGTTTGTCGGGGGGGGGGGGGGGGGGGGGTTCTCTTCGATTGGAACCCCCCCCCCCTAATTTTGTTTGGTTGGTGGTTGGTTGTGGGGTGTTTGTTGTGGGGGGGGAGGGGGGGGGGTGGGGGGGGGGGGGGGGGGGGCATGCTTTTGGAAAACCATTCCCTTGCTTTGGTATGCAGAATGTAACGGTCTACTTCTTAAAAAAAACTTGTTTACTCTAAATTTTATAAAAAAGAGAGCTAATTGTATTTTAATACCCTAAAGTTCATCGGTTTCTAAACTTTTATATCCTGTTCTGTTGCTCAAACATACTAAAAAAACATAGTAATGTAATCGTAGGCGAGCATGAGAATGTAGCTTTCCATTTACTAAATATCAACTAAAATCATTATAGAAAAATACTTTGTTCTCAATAATATCAAAAATTATAAGCAATTGTTAAAAAATTCTACCATTTAAAATAAAAAATATTCTTCAAAAAAGTGATCACGTTCATTTTTTTTAATCATTATATTTTGCATTGAGATGTATGTAATAATCATTTCGAAAAAACTTAACATTTTATATTTATCTCTTATTATCATTTATTTTAATCTCTTATAATGTATAACGCGATGAATATTTAATTATGCTACTTTAAATCCTGTTCTCATTCATGATTTAGAATGGTCTAGAAATAAGAAAAAGATGAATATTTAATTATTGTGAATAAAATTCAATTTTCATTCATAATTTAGAATCTTATAGAAATAAGATAAGAAACAAAAGAAAGGAAAACAAAAATATTACATTTGCGAAATTAATATGCTCCTCGTACTTCTCCTATGATGGGAAATGTCCTCAAATCTTTTGGGTACCCTCACTAAGATTTTAATATAGTAGTATAGATAGGTGAAAAGTCCCACCAACCAATCTCTAACTATTACCCTATAAATCACCAAAGTAACCCAAGTGAAACTAAATATCTACAACAAGAAAATAATCACAATCATAAGCCCAGAAGTTCGAAAATATCAAATTCACGTCTCATTTGAAATATACCTAAGCACAAATTAATACGAAGGACAATGATATAGTTTGCCTAGGATCAAATTATCGTATAGTTTACATACAAATCGAACATAACTGTAATTTAAAAGGTCTAATTTGGGCTAACTATGATGAATCAGATGAAAGAATCACAGTTGTAACTTTGAATGTATATTACCATAATCACAAGCCGAGAAGATCGAAAAAAGCACTTACATATTTCACTTTGGGATATACGTAAACACGGATTGATACAAAGGACATGGGTACTTCCCTGAAACGAATCAAATAATCGTCTAGTTTACATACAAATTGAACAGAACTGTAATTAAAAATGTCCAACTCGATCTATGTTGAGTTGGATGAAAAAGAAATCACAAGTGTAACTTTGTCCTATAAACGCATCCTACGACTTTCTTCGGAGAAGGATCGTCGGGACCTCTGTCTCGTTGGCCCGATGTGAAATATAACCATCCATCCCAGTATCCAACTAAGGTAGTCTTTATGCGGAAAGGCATTCGTCCAACTACAGACCACTCCTGTAACCACAAATGAAGTTTAGACCAAAAAGTCATCGTGGAAAGATCTAAATTTGAATGGCTGTCAATGTTGTACAAGAACTAGAGGTAGACACGGCAAATTAGAAAGTTTACAGGGAACACAGGGAAGAAAGTAATAGGGGTAGGCACATTGCTAGAGGGTAACACTCAACTTTCACAAGGGAGACAATCTGTAACGTATACAGCTCCAGTGGAGAGATTTCTTCTTATTATTGCCAAGAAAACGTGGTTCTATGAGGGTTTTATCAATATCTACCCCCACAATTACAGGCATATTTAATTTAATCTCCCAAATTGTTATAATTGCTCACCCCCAATATTTTATTGGATACAGTGGTTTCAAGATTTTTGAGTTTATTTAATACAAAACCTAAATCATGAAAGAGATCAAGTAAGAAATAATAGACGGAAACTCTGAAATGTGACGTGTCTTGAATATGGAAGCCACATTCTCATTTTGAGCATGGGTTAACACATTATTAGTAAAAAGAAAACACGCGCGCGCACTCACAGGCACACACACGCATGCACACGCACACACCCGCACACGTGCGCACACTCGCGCGCACACAAATCTTATTTGCTCTCCAAGTAGCTAGTAGTATTTCAAAAACAAAAGAGACGACAGCTTTTCTTAAAAAAAAAAATTAGTTATTGGCATTGTTAATGCTAAAGTGCATGTTTTGCTGGTTGACTCCTATGGTTATCTGTTCATCATCCTTTTAATTATTTCGTTAGAATGGCCATCAGAAAGGCCACACAAATATGGAAAAAAATTTCATGCGTGATTGATGAAGGAAAGTTCCCAAAGGTCATCTCAGAAACAAAAGAGCACAGCCCCTAAAGGAAAACAATTCTACAAACTTTAAGACAATGTTTCACATTAAGAAAGAGAGTTAAAAGCCATAAAGGCATGTGGTTGTAATAGGAGTGAGAACAGTTTCAAGGATTGCCTCCAACATATCTAGAGAATTCTCCTCGGCTTATCCACAAATGGGTAAGAGTTATTAGCCATACTATAAATGTTTCCCATTATAAAAAAGTTAGAATATATTTATATACTGAAGAAAAGATGGTGTATGTTTCGTACCATGGTATCTAGATTGAATCGAAAGACTTCCCCAACCAGCACCATCTTCTTGGTTATGGGATGTTTCTCTGTTGTGCCTCCGGCGATGATAATGGAGTTATTAACCATTTTCCATGCAAATTCTATATGGGAATCTGGCTTTGGCATTGGAGGCAGTTCTGTCCATTTCTGTTTGTCGTCAAGCATGTAGACATTGCCGTATACCACCTAAATTTTAGAGACATCAAAAATTATAATTACTCAACTTAAAAAAAGTACAGTGAAAGTAAGTGAATCATTGTTAGAAAGAAAAGCAAGGAGCCAGAACTCCACATCTACCACTTAGAAAATCAGATGAACAAGAGAAGGCAAGGAGTTCACAGAAGAAAAGAAAATTAAATAAAAATAAAGATAAGAAATGAATAACTATATAAGAAAGTCGACTGATTTAGTAAAAGAATTGCAGGTAAAGAAAAGGAAATTTTGACTACAAAATTGTGCACGAAAATGCATAAAAACATTCGACCTGTCTTATTTTTCTTACTAACAAAACAGTAGACACCACTTTTCACCATCAAGTCTTAATCCCGCCAACTCTTTCAGCCATTAAAATGGCTCCGAGTCTATCATGTACTTCAAGAAATTAAGTGTGAACGTCACATTGAAGTCACAGTCTTCGATTTCATATCTAATCAAAGTGGTTAACTCATACTTCATAGTTTATGATTCTAGTGTTCTTCTATTACACGACACTCAAATACCGTTAATATTTGGATTTGTTGTTCAAAAATCTTGACTTTGATCAGTCAGTGGACAGTTGACAAAGATATAATTTCTCTTGTGGGCATTAATCCTCGTAAAATTACCTTCTTTGTTGTCTAATATATTCTCTTGCTTCTGAGTATGGATTGTGTGGAACAAATAAAAATTTTATATGGGACTGATGTACCAATGCGCTTACAGAGATCAAAAGTCTATGATTATGTATTGTTTAGGAATGTAATGTATTCATGTCATGTTAGTATGTGTATTGGGAAAATTAAGCGCGTACATGAGCATATAATAGTTGTTCAATGCCCTGTGCAAGATGTCATTGTAGGCTAATGCCACCATGCAACTACTGGCTATAGTGGAAATTCATAGGATGTGAATGGTACTTATTTTATATCGAATCACTAGCATGAAAGCAACTCACAGTGTCATTGCCATGCATGGTCCCACAAGCATTACATAATTGCATAACATTGATAATAGACCTTGCATGTTCTTCCATACTTTGTACGTCTTAATTAATTCAATTCTAAACATTATTGTTCACTCTAATGTTAAGTATACAAACCCCTTCGCGATAAATAAAAAGAAAAATTCATTTACAGACTTTCGAATTAGGGTGGCTTGAGAATATGTCCTAAATGGGTTGGAGTTTTTATATGGATTACTGAAAAACATTTTGGAGTTCATTATGCTTCGATGACTTCACAAGGATAAAAGCTATTTTGTTCTCTTTGTAATTAAGTTAGACTTCGTACTTTGGTTAGTTACGTATTCTTTTAGGCTTGTGAGAACTTTTTAGCAGGACATTTTTCAGGAACGTACTTAGTGATGACGTATGGTAGACTAGTTTTTGATGGTGTGTCTAGTTTCATACGGATCTTTGATTTTATACGAATGAAAAGATGGTTTCTGGATAATGAGATTTTGGCTGATTACATCCACAGGTACTTATTAATGATGTATAGATCACTTGCACGTGAGATCCCAAGGTTATCATCGCATTTGGCCAGGAACACTTTTAACTGGTCATTTTTTTGTGGTAATCTATGGGTGCATGGTTGATGTGTAGGGGTATGGGTCAGGCTCGATGAGAAAAACTCCATCCTAGGATAAAGTTTTATCCATGACAACTTAAGGAAACAACTTGTTGAAGTTCATTCTCAGATAAGAGAAAAGAAGCAACAGTGTCATATATGGCTCAACTGATCCACTCAAAATATTCAACCGTTGAACTATGCCAAGTTGCCAACCCTATGGGAAATACTAAGAAAGTATTGCTCGCGCGGTAAAAGAAGACCAGCATATACCATGGTCTTGTCACATTGGATGTCAGCTATTAATTCCAACTATTTCTTTTGCAGCTAATATGTGACTCATAGCTGATACACACTGCATAACCCACACTACCCACGTCTTAAAGATGGAAGAACTCTATCCCTGAGATAATTATGTGTAAATAGAAAAAAAAAAAATCTTTTTTCAAGCTCATTGTCAGATAGCACAGTTTATAGAGCAAGTATACATTGTTTTTTTCCTCTCGTGTCAACTGGAAGCAACAGGTTTGACTATTCTATTTTACAAGTGTCTCATAATACATATAACAGGGTTCATCATTTATTTATATGATGTAATATTATATATAAAGAATACCTATAATTAGGCAAAACTCTGATGGTATGTCAGATTTATTATCTTTATTGAGGAAATCATAACAAAAGTGTTCTGTATTAATCTATCACTAAAAAAACCATGTTTTTAAAAGGTCAACCTTCTGTTGAGAATAGTAGGGTCTCAGAAAAGTACATGGTGTAATAATATGGGAATGTATATCATGCAAATGTGTACATCTAAACATACACAGTTTCATACCCGTTTATGAAGAAAAACATGAGAGCTAATTCAAAATTAATAATGATTTAAGCATCTGAACATGATGCTCAACATATGTAAGATTATAGGAAAAAACTTGTTACCTCACTCCTCCGAGCACATTTGAAGATAGGTGATCCAGGTTTGGCCATAAAATCACCCTCTTGGCCACCAATCACAAGAAGCCGATCATTAGCAACCACACAAGCCCTGATGAAAACATATTCACTAAGTAGTTAAAACATCAATTAATCTTCATCCATAAAATTTGATCCGGAAAAACTGAGTAGAAAGCGTAGGGTGATTTGGCGGAAAATGTGAAAGCTGTTGGGGGGGGGGGGGGGGGGAGGTATTGAAGACCGGTGAGGACACACGAGGTATTGGTATTTGCTTCGCCATTCTTTCTCAAGCTTTCCATCCTTTACCGCAAGACTCCAATGCTGCCAGTGCCAGGCTCGTTGGGCCGGTCCTCTTGCTGCACCATAACATGCAGTCTACCTCTCCACAACTGGGTGGCCGGTGCATACCTAATATATAAATCAATATTTTGAAACAAGTATACTTTAGTTATTTACTTATGGAATTCTGAGATTTTCAAAATTAATGATGAACAGATTATTAAGCTGGTGTATATCACATCATTTCCATCATCAAAGAAGCCTCTCTATGTCAAATTGGGTTGCCTAGAGCAGAATGCTCCCAAAAAATTGACCAAATTGAACGACCAGCTACCAACCTAACATCAATCCTTTTAATTAGAGTTGAATTCCTTGCATGGAAATATGGACAGACACTCTCGCAGAGGAACACAATATTAGATTTGAAAATGATACAAGGAACATGTATACAAACATGATGGAAGCATGGAGTAATTGATCATTTAGTATTGAGATAGGAAAGATCTGAAGAAGAATTTTTTACGACTTCAGGGAATCCTTAATCATTTTTATACTTTAGGCATAGTTGGTAGGTCTTTTCCACTTTGGCACACCATTCTGTAGAACTCTAAAACTTCAAGAATGATGCGAAAAATGACGAATGAATTATTGGTAACACCAAAACATAAAAATTCACCACTAACTCATTTCATTTTCACCCTTAAGATTTGTTAAATAGGAGTTCCAAAAGTGAAAAGGATTGGGCTAAATTTCACGAAACCCCCCAGTAAGTTTAGCTTCTGGCAGTTAATCCACGAAAAGTTTGACACTCACTGAACCCCAAATAAGTTTGAGATTTCAAAAAAACCCAAGAGTGTTCGATTTTTTTTCACTTAACCTCCAATTACTACTATCAAATTTTAGGGTTTTTTGAAATTATCAAACATATTTCCGCGGGGGGGGGGGTTATAGTGAGGTTTAAACGTTTGCGGCGTTAATGCAAAGGGCCAAACTTACTGGGGGCTTAATGAAATTTATTGAACTATCCTGAAAGTGCAGACCAGAATTACTGCGATCTTAGAAGTGTAAAAATCCCCTTTGTAAGAATCCTAATTTTATTGTAGTTATAATAGTTTATAAATATGAAAAAGTAAGTGTATCTTTATGCATATAATAGCTATAATTATAGTTAGGTATAACTATAATTATTAGTGGGTTTATTTGCAAATTAGATGTTAAATCCTCAGAAACCCCCCCCCACATATTTGGCATCGCCGCCTTTTTTTTGTCTTCTCTGAGAGAGAAATGAAAACCTTTGGTGGTGGGCACTATCAGGGTGATATTTGTTTTAGATCTTAAAGGTTGATACAAGGTACTGCCCTATATTTAGGAAAAGTATACATTAATGTCTTAGGGTTTCTTTGAATTTTTCATGTTAAATCTTTTGGACCTGCTTGTACTTGTCCACCATATATTTTCATAGCTCGACCTTATTATCATGGCCATGGTAAAAGTCCTAGGGGCATGCAGCAAATTGCTGCTGCTTCTCTGTTTAATTTTATATATAACGCTCTGTTTATTTTTTTATATAAAATTATATCAAGTATATGTGGGTTTATTCCTGATGGATTATATCCTTTTGTATGGTCGTACTTGCATATTAATTGTTAACTTGGATGTGATGCATAGGGGTATTGGTATATGCCTATGCTTATTTCTCTGTTGACAATCATGTCTTTCCATATCATAGTAACTTGAGATGCATGTGTGGTTGATTTCATTACTGGTTGGCCTTTGGCAATTCTTTATAAAATATTTGATTATATGAACTTTTGCATATGCATCTCAAGTCAATATACCGGTATATGTTGGGGAAAAGTAAGTCATCTAAACAAGGCTCAATGTGCCTCTATGAGGTTATTTTAGCGTTAAACCCACGTTTAGGGTCTCTATACCCTAATACCACGGGATTAATAAAAGTGGAGATACCATGTCAACCGGGGTAGTAATTGTTGATCGCATTGAGACGTGGTCTGCGTAATTTCATTTCATGATTTTTAAGTTTTTAAATATTTGCATCAAGAGTTCGTTGATGATTTTCTATATTTTAACATTTTGCTTATCATTTGTCAAAATATTTGAGTTTTTGCAAAACCAATATTTAATGTATAAATTTATCCACTTATTGGGTTGTGAACTCATTGTGTTCTATTCATTCTTTTCAGAGACTCGGGAGTAGGTGAGTTAGTGGTTCCTAAATTATTAGAAGGGAGCAAGAAATAAAATTTGCAGATCACAACTTTTTCTTCTAAGTGAAGGTTGAATAAAGTCTTCGATGTATAGTTGATAATTGGAAGCTATGTAATAATGGAATATTTCCCTTTAGGTTGACTTTTATTTCAAGCTGAGGAATATTAGTTTATCTCAAGTTAATTGGATTAATATTGTCTTTTGGATTATAGAGAATATTTGTTGTTGGTTTTAATTAAATTGTGAGATTATTTTGGTGGTCTTTCGATAAATGTAGATTTTGAAGGACATTTTCACAGGTTTAGTCTGATTCTAATATTCCTTCTAGTATGAAAATTGGGGTCGTGACACCCTTGGAAGAACATAGCTTGCTTGTTTTAATCGCTTTACTGACAACTATGCATGGTGCATGCAAAACCTGAAAATTAACCGGTTATGGTAATTACAATATGGTCTATATATACGATTGGCAAATTAATCAGTTGTCTAACATACCTCGGCACAGGTAAAGGAGGTAAGTCATGCCACTCTTTCTTCTCTGTGTCTAGGACAAAGTTGCGAGCTGTAGGCCCTCTACATTGTGGTCCATATTGCCCAGTGACCACATAGATGTATCTACCATCTGTTACCATCCCTAGATGTGAATGGGCCATTTCTTTAGGCATATCAAATCTTCCTCCCCATGTATTATCAGTGAAGTTATAGATATCCACATGAGAATGCACCTACAACATTAGACATTTATGTTCAGTAAAACATGGAAGAACATCAATCCATAAAACATAATATTTTAATTCTTATCTAATACATAACATGTACTATGCTTTCAAGAATGAAATCTTCACTTTCACATAAACATTCTATGTACTTAAAATATAAAAACTGTTTGACCATGGAACCATAAATATCGCAAAAGATAAAATCCACTGTCCATATGATAATTAGGTCATCCAGAAAAAAGAATAAATTACATAGAAGATATACAACAAGAATTACCTCAGATTTATATTTTCTAAGTGAAAATATCATGAAACTGCATTTTCAAAGGTCAAGCATAACATTCGTATAAACAGGTATTGTGAGACACAAAAGAATTTTTTTTACCCGACACCACCAGCTCACGAACTCCTTCGTACTTAGTATACCCAGCTCCTTTCCGTGTTTGTCTTGACTACAAGGTACTAAAGACCTTATTTCGCTTCTATAGGACGTAGCCTACTCAAGTGAAGCCACCTAGACCCTTCTTATAAGTGGCTTCTCATTGTGAATCTCCATCATATCCTTCCTTAATACGTACTAAATTTTTTTAGAGGATGTAACCGGTTGTATATTAACACAACTCAAGATAACTTTATATGAACCTAGTGAAATCAAATCAGCCCTGCATTTCCAATTGAGCTCTGCTTTGCAAGGATTGTGCATGAGCTAGATGCTTGAGTGTTTGCACTGTGGTGTTCCCACTTATCTTGTAGTCAAGAGGATCAAAATATCACAAGGAGCCTCGCCTTAATGGGTTAACTACTCATCTTATTGCCTTCCCAAGAAAACAAGACGCCTTCCTCTTTATACAACAGCATATGGACTCAAACCTGACGCAATGATAAACTCTAGCTTCTATATCACTTGCATCACAGTAAACTTAATTTATTTCCTTTTTTAGGGTCAGATTTCAACTACAAAAGGTAATCGAACTACCACCGAAAACTCAATAATTGTAAGAGATGATATCAAAAACCAAACTTTTTTTGAGCAAAATAAAACATAAAATTGGAAATTACTCACATAATCAATAGTACCATAACCAGCAAATACAAACAAAAGATTCTCAATCTGTATAGCCGCTCCGTCCAATCTCGGCACAGGCGCAGCCGCCATCTCCTCCCATTGCAATTGGCCGCCGGCAAATCCGCAAGTCAAGTTCACATCTTTCATCAACGCTTTAATCTCCCTCCGCTCTTCTTCTTTCCCTAAACCCCAAAAAGAAAACAAAAAACAAAGGAAATCACCTGGAATTATCGAACTAAAACCCTAATCCGGGGGAAGTCCGGGGACTTACTGGCTTGGGATCGGGAGATTTAAAGGCATGAATTGGCTGCTCGAGGGGGAAATCTAGGGCGGAGGACCAATTGGGGGAGGACGACGCGGAGGAGGAGGAAGAAGCCCAGAGGAAATCGGCGACGAGGGCGATCCCGAGGAGAGCGATGCAGGATAATACGAACAAGTATTTTCTGGATCCATGTTTGCCGCCAAATCTCGCCATGGATCTCACTGAGAAATGATGAGCATCGTTTGAGTTGGAAATGGGAGAGGAAATGGGAGAACTGAGACTTGAGAGAGAGAGAGAGAGAGAGAGAGTGAAGAAGAGGAAGGAGGAAAGAAGGGGACCTTTTTTTTTTCGAGGAAGGTTTTGGGTTGATGATCGTAGTAGATATTCACTCTGTATATCTATTTGTACGTACATCAGTTCTACATTACGAGCCTTTTTCAATTATTATTATTCAGATTCTATCTGTCCAATTACACTTAATAATAACAACGCTCTACAGTACGGATGACAATACTTAGTTGACCAATAAATAATGAGTATGGGTCGAGCTATGTTTACAGTTGATACATCCGACAAACTGAATTATTAAAAGAGCTTTGCTACAGGAACCCAAAATATGGGACCAATAGAGGGGACAAGTGATGTGTCTCCCTCCTATTGGATAATGAGTTGGTCATCATTAATGATGACCAACTCATTATCCAATAGGAGGGAGACACCTCACTTGTCCCCTCTATTGGTCCCATATTTTGGGTCTTTGAGGAATTTTTCTTATTAAAATATATCTTATTTAACATGTATGGTATTTCGAATAACATATTTGAAAAAAACACCTTTCTAGTTTCACGAATAGCAAATTTCCAAAAATAGCGTTGTAGGCTGTCTAAAAATCACAATGGATAGCTGATCTCCATCAAGCCCCGACAATGAAAGTTACAATCAAACGACTTTCTAATCACTGCATCCGCAACTCTACAGTCGCTACAAATACGGCCTCATATTTGAGATGATTGATCTTGATGGCTGCGACAACAACATGGCTAATATTATATTAACAACTATTAGAGATGCTGATGAGCAGTATGATGATTTCAGAAATAAAAGGTTGGACTTAGTTGGTGAGTTGCTTGGTAGAGAGCTGTGGGCAAATATTCGTCTAAATATCACAATGGATAATTGATCCCCATCAAGTTCCAACAATGAAAGCTACAATCAGATAGCTTTCATGCCAACAAATAGTTACAATTCGACGACACTTCCGACAACTGAAGAATAGAGGACTTTTCACATAAAACGAGAAGAGTTACAATTCGACGACACTTCCGACAACTGATGAAAACTCTATTCAGCAGTTTTCACAATCTACAGTGAAAGTTACAATCTGATGACTTTCACACTCCACAACAGCTAAAGCTAGGATTACTGAACAACGGTCCTCGCAACGCTTCACAGAAGAAGTTACAAGTCAAAAAGCTCCTTCTGAAACGCGGATGTCATCCCCGCGTTACAACTTGGGAAGTGCAGGCGACCCCCGCGTTTCCAAGCTACAACAAGTCAAAAGCGAACGACCCTCGCGTTCTTGAGGTTCAACCAACACCCGACCCCAACGTTTCCAAGCTGCAATAAGCAAAACACGAGCGACCCTCGTGCTCATTGATGTTCAGTCAACACCCAACCTCGCGTCTCAATTCTAAGACGCGAAGTTGGGGTTCTGAACGCCAGATTGGGCGTTTGACTCGTTCAAACATGAGTCGAACGGTTTCAGAACTGTTTTCCCCACGATCTGAGGAAATCACGCCCACTTAGGAGCGGATTTAGAGGGCAGTTACAACCTCTTATCCCCCTATAAAAACTCAACAAACCCAACGGAGTAAAAGGTTGGATTTTCAGCATCTAAACCACACGATTTTTGGAGGTTCTTCAGGATCTCAACCGCACAGAGAGGCAGGGGAGACGAAATCCTTGGAGATAGGATTTTTTGAATCGAGTTCAGAAGATCAAATCTGAAAGGATTCTTCAACAACAGAATATCTGCTTAGTCATTAACCGAATCTTCGGTTCTAACAACTCTATTCACAGAGTTCTAACTCGTTCAGAGTTCTTAAACTCGTTAAAGAGTTACCCATTTAAACTTTCCACAGAAGTTCATCGTTTCCACGAGATAAAAGACGGTCGGATCGTTAACGGAGAGCAAATTCGATGCGAACAATCGAAGGAGGCACTACATCGCTACCTTGAAGAACCCAGTTTTAAACAAAGGGGAGAATCAAATTCATTCTCCTCTCTTTTGTAATCGGAATCCAATTGTAATCGATTTTGAGAGAATACAAATCAAAATTTTCTTTCGTTTCCTTTACATCGAATTTTTCCACAAACAAAAGATGGTGACTCTGCTGGGGACAAGCTTTTCTGACGAAGAAGTGGTGGCGCAATCCGACGTCCACCTCATAGGAACAACTGTTGAAACTCTCGTCGTAGAGTTTGACCAAGCAAAATACGAGGTAGCCCTCTCCTCTGGATCGCTTAGCCCCAAGGCCAAGCGTGATGTCCGCAGGATCTCCAAGGAGGTCAAATCTGTTGCTGAAACGCCAAAGAAAGTCATCTCCTTTGGCCAAAATTCGTCGAACAGCCCCTCTTCTTCACGAGCGGGCTCGGCCTCTGCTGAACTCGCACAGCGAGTTGAATATCCCACATCCGCGTCAGCATGACGTGCTTCAGGCCATAAACGGCCTATAGAGGAGACGAGCTCCATAAACGTCAACGACGCTGCTGCTAATGCTTTGAAGCAAGCCAAGAAGAACGGCGCTCGCAGACGGAGAAGATCCATACGACGAGCACACCTGCACGAAAGCCGAATGTTGGCCCAACGCGAGGATCGCGTTCTTGAAACTTTACCCGAACATAGCGTTCCCAAAACAGAACGCTCACTTCGCGGCAATGAGCCCGACTACGAGCCTCGCCTGATACAGCTGAAACGCGACCCTGAATGGTGCGTTGTTCCTTCAAAACGCAGCCTTCAGAAGGAAGCTGCCAAAGATAAACGCGGTCCTCACGTGCGCGTTCAAACAGAACATGACTCTCAAGAGTCTGTTTCACCAACCAAACGCGACCCTCAGGGGCGCGTTCAACCAAAACATGACCCTCAGGGGTCTGTTTCATCATTTAAACGAAGGCCTCGGCCTAAGGTTTACAAATCCCAACACGACCCTCACATTATTCTTCAAGAACACGACCCTAGCGTTGTTCTTCAAGAACACGATCTTCAAGAGGTCCGCCAGGTTCAGAAGAGTCAACATGGGTTCAAAATCCACGTTCGACAAGAACCAATCTCACCCACCCAAGGGCAGGGGGTTCCATCTCCGCCTCCACACCCGGGGAAAGCTTCCTCCCAAGTTCCTGATTTGCGGGAATTATTGTCAAGAGGAAAACCAACAGTACAATCAGCTCACTCATGCCAATGTGAGAGGCTTATCTCGGCAGTCCTTTCAGAATGCCATTGTTGCGTATCCGTACCTCGGCAGTCCGTATTCGACAGGTTGACGAACATTGTTAGACCTGCCAAGCGACAAAGCCGATACAGAAAGAAGATAGCTAAAACGGAGTACCCTCAGGTCACTATCAATATGATTGGCCGAGGGAAAACCTCCCGTCCTGATTCAGATGAGTCACAGAAAAGTCATTCCCCGACTGTTCAGGAAATTTGTGACAAATTTGAAGGAGTGTACCGGCATACTCGGACTCGAACAGGAGCTATTCGCTTGGTTAATTATCAAAGATTGGCCAAGGGGATCGTTTCTGACGATGAACATTCGGCAATTGCCGAATCTTAATCTTCAAGTTCTGTTGTCGCACGTGAGGTCTCTGCTTACACGACAGGGAACCATGAAGACTTAGCTAAGAGAGTTGACGAACATCACGTTATGCTCCAAGCGCAATAGGAGACACTTCTCCAAGTAAAGGATATGTTGGCCCAGCTCCTTGCTGAAAAAGGCCAAAGACCCGAGTCTTCCCGGAGGACTATGTCAAAGGGAAAGCAGAAGGCGCACGAACATTCAGATCGTGAGACTCACAACCTAGAATCTTCTTCTGAAAATGAGAAGGAGATGGAAAAAGATCTGCATCCTCAGTCCGCTAAAGTGGACGAACTGGAGGCTCGCCTCAATGCAATCGCCAACAGAAGCGAGCTCCACGAAGAAGGAGTAGTGCGGCCTTACCCTGCTGAGTGGGATACAACTCCCTACCCACCGAAGTTTAAGGCCCCTACTTTGCAACCGTTCGATGGCACAGGATCGCCGAATCAGCACATTTATTACTTCAAATCCCAAACTAGAGATGTGGTAGCGAACGACGCCATTTTGACCCGACTATTCATCGGTACCCTCAAGGGTGTCGCCTTTGAGTGGTTTATGAAACTGCCTGCCGGATCTATCCAGAAATGGGTAGACCTGGAAAGGCTATTCTCGGCCAGGTTCTTTGAGGACGACACAGAGGTCTCAGTCCCGACTCTTCTCACCACTAAGCAAAGGAAAGGGGAGTCCATCAAGACCTATGTTGAGAGATTCCGCAGCATGGCACTGCGATGCCCATCAGGTATGACCCAATCAACCTTGGTTGAAACTTGCAGGCACAACTTGCAGACCCAGCTCCTTGCTCAGATGGGAGTAGCGGAGTGTCGCTCCTGGAGACAAATAGTTTCACAAGGAGAACAAACTGAAGAGATAGTGGCGCGAGTTAAAACTGAAGAAGTGTCATAACCCAAGCCGCAGCAGCAACGCAATCAGCACAACGCCCAGCGGTCTAAGGGAAAAGAGACTTTGGCAGCTGAAACCAACACGCGAGTACCACCGCCTACTAAGCAAGGCAAGGCGCCAAATCAACAAAGAGCACCCAAGCAGTACTTGTTTAAAGAGGAGCATGTAGATACCTTATTCCAATTGCTTCGAAAGAATAACAAGCTGCAGTTGCCTGAAGTCAGGAAGCCGGATGAAGCAGGGAAGGTGGATGACCCTAACTATTGTCGTTATCACAGATTCCTTGGACATCCTACCAGAAAATGCTATGTCTTCAAAGACATTTTACAGAATTTGGTAAATGCTAATGTACTCACTCTGAAACCCGAGCAGAAGACCGTATCCACCAATATGGTAGCAGTCCAATTCGGTGACTTCCCTCCAGTAGTAACTGTGAATGTCATTATTCCCATTCGTAAGGGAGAAATACACCTGAAGAATGCTGACTTGCATAGTTAAAAAGACAGGGGGTTGGTACTCCTCACTACCCCAAAAGGGGAAATCATGTGGGTCCATCCTGATCTGCTAGGAGATCAACAATGGACGAACACCTCGTCCGAAAAGAAGGGAGGCAAGGCT